ATGCCAGAAATATCTATCTTTGCCAAGAGGCACCAGTTGTCATGGTCAATCGATCACACTCTCCCCCAATTTTCTGTTCCCTTTTAGTCCCCTTGATATTTACACATGTTCTGTCTGAGTCATTAAAACTTATGGTCTGTAACATGACTAATGCTCTGGAGCTATTTAATAATTACCATGTACTTCATTTGCACATACACTCCCCCTACTCCCACCCCTGAAAATACCTGCTCCAACCGGGGATAAAAACAGACCCTAACGTCCACCCACAACAGGAATCTACAACTCACCTTTAAAGGGTCTGGTATGGCTTTGTTAATTAGCTGACCTCATCAGGAGCAGTCCCCTGGCCATCAAATGAGAGTGCAGATGCAAGATGGAGAGGGAGTCAGCCATCACCAAGGTTTCAGGAAGAACAGAAGGATGGCACTACCTCATCCATCCACTCTGGTGACCCACAGGGAATATCTCCTACCACCCCTGCCCATCTGTTGATGAAAACTGATTATGTGAAACTCTTTGGGGGGGTTTCCATCAAGAAAATCCTTAACTCTAAGCAAAAAGAGGTTGGATGAGAGATCAAGGCCAGTAAGATCCAGGTTAGAATATCCTCCAGTTCACCCCACAGAACCAATCCCGCTCTGAACATAAGATGTAAAATCACAGTCAACTTCTCAGCAACGTATGGTCCATCATATTTCACATCTGTCTACAGTTTTTGAGCTGCCAGTGAAAAGCAAGTCAAAATAAACAAAACTCAAAGATGAATGTGGAAAGTAAACTCATAAACTGAAATTGCTGATTCAAGTCACAAGAATTTTAATAAAATTAGCCTAAGTTTTCAGAGGAAGATAAAGGTACTTCTAAAAGTCATATAACTTGAAGCAGATTCCCCTGTTTGGTTACCAAATGCCTTCCTGCTACCAGGTGATGCAGATTAATACACAGCATTCTAAACCTGTAAAACTTAATAGACAAGATCATGTAATTAAAACCATGACACTGGTTTTAGCAGGCAAGATTCAGAATCAAGAAAAACTCCCAAGAAAGAGAGTCTAAGTTCATTCTTTAGCTCTTTGTCCAATAACATGTGTTTTCCTGACAGTTCTCTTGTTTCCAAGCACAAGTTCTACTTGGAGCATGAACCACACCATTTTTTAATTTATTTTTTTAATTTTTACTTTTTTAAGATTGCCACCTGAGCTAACATCTTTTGCCAATCTTTTTCTTTTTTTTCTTCTCCTCTTCGAAGCCCCCCAGTACATAGTTGTATATTCTAGGCATAGGTCCTTCTGGTTGTGCTGTGTGGGACGCTGCCTCAGCATGGCTTGATGAGAGGTGCCATGTCTGCACCCAGGATCCGAACCGGCAAAACCCTGGGCTGCCGAAGCAGAGCACGTGAACTCAACCACTCGCCACGGGGCCGGCCTCAGCACTATTTTTAACTTATGAAGACTTGTATTCAGACCCTTTCCTCAGTTATATAACCAAACAAAAACTGGTAATAATAACTTATTACCATAAAAGATATGAAAAAGGAAGCATCTAGATATTCTTAAGATTTGTATTATGGAGCAGACTGAATGGAAGGAGGACTGAAGCAAAGTGTCACGGCTGCCCGAAGCTATCTGCCAAACACACAGCTCTGTATCACAGAACAAAGTGCTCTTCTTCACACCAGGAGCCTAAATCAAAACCACACATTTCAGTTTCCTGCTTTTTCACCCTCTCAAACACCCCTTTTATTACGGCTTATTGTGTAGTTATTTTAGACTCAGCATTAGAGTGTAAACTCCCTGAGAGTAACACCTGTCAGTCATTTTCAACCCCCTGCAGCACCCGACACCGGGACTTCAACTTATTCAGCCCGGAAGATGTCGGCTGTCCTGAACTGAGTACACCAGAACAAATCACAACTGGCCCACCTGCAAGAAGCTCGTCACAAAGACTCCTTCCTCAGAAATCCTCTTTAATATTTTAAACTTCGTGTTTTCTGGGTTAACCTGCTCTCACAACTGTCAGTACTAGTTTATTTCTTCCCCCAAAACTCATCCAACCAAACAGACAATCTCTCTACATTTTCCTGAAGGTAAATTATCTCTCAATAAAAAGCTGTTTTTGCTTTTAATTTAGGTACATAAAACCTCCATTATTTAGGTTTTGGAAAGAAGTATTAACTCTTTAACAAGTAGTAAATAGTTTTGTGAGAATCATTATAAAATCTTCTGTGTTTTGTGTCTTCCAACAAGTGAAATACTACAAGAAAGTCGTTCAAAAAAGAGCTAATCAACTTTACCCCACCCTCTTCATAATCCGATCTGCCTGGGAGAACCAAACCTCTCCACTTTTCCTTCTGATTCAGAGTCGTGGCTATTAAGATCAGTTGCTACACTATGTTGGAGATGTGGCTATTACAGTGGTTGGAAAACAAAGGCACTGGAATATGCCTTCTTGAAAAAGTTTATTTCAGCCTTCTTGTTCATTTGCTTTTCTCTCATTAAGAAAAAGCCAGATTCTTACTCTTTTTAATTCACCCAGCCCCACCCAACTTTCCTGTGCCAGAAATACCTTTAGCTGGTCTGCCCTCCTCCCAAGATCTACAGAGGCTGGCTAACTCCTCCGACAACCGCCCCTATTTTCCAAAGTGCAGTTGGTTCTGGATAGGCCCATCTATTCAGACTATAGGAATTTCTGCCTAAATGCCTTTAGCTTACACTTTTGCTCAGCTTTTACTGTTCTCTATGACAGCACTTGTCCTCTTTCACTGGCTCAACTCAGGTGCTAATTTTTCCACGTTGCATTACTAGAAATATTCCAGTTCATACAATCCTTCCTTTTCCAACTTAGAGATTCCATCTGGGAACAGTACAAAACATGTAACATGGGAAAACCGAGATTTAGAGTGCCCTGCCCACGGTCACAAAGTCAACAGTTCACGCAGTGGTTCTACACCCTGGGAGTCAGCAGAATCTCTTGGGAACAATCTAAATTATAGTTGCCCAGCTCAAATCCTTGTTAAAACACAGTCTCCTCGACTATAATCCCTCAGGGACATGTTTTCAGATCTACCCTGGTTTTCAGGCACCAAGAAGATTCAATCGCCGCTTCCTGATTGCCTTTAGAGAATGACAAATGCAGAGAATTGTCCTTTTACAGTCAAATCCTCAGAAATAATGATTATTATCTATTGCAGAGTTCCAGCATTATTTGCCTACTTTATTAGCCATGAACTTATCAGACTTGACCAGATTCAGAAACGGTTTTATCTCACTCAAAGACTCCTAAAACCTGAATCCATCTATTTGTTTCTGTAGATTCAGTGTAGACTCTCTGTAGGAAAACAAGTGGATTCTCATTGTAAAACTGCACCCAAATTTTGCTTAGTTAGCCTTACGAAAGAAAACACAAGGTTACAACATAACTTGGAATTCTCCACAGGGGAAGAAATCGAATCCTATAATGTTCATAGCAACAAAAAACACATGTCTAGAGTTACCCATAAGCTGTGCACTGTACTTTGATATGAATGCGAAAGTAAGAACAACTCTTTAAATGACCTTGACGCATTGCTCTTTTTTCCACAGGAATGATATAGCACTGGTCAATTACAACGTAACAATACAATTTTCTCACAATTCCATTATTTCTCTATAATTATTCCAGTAGGAATTCATTGTAACTTATGTTAAGTACAGAGAATAAATGTTTTTTGAAAATGAGGAAAACAAAACCAAAGGAAAAGGAAAGAGGTGCTAGAATGTTCTCTGCCCTGATCCAGGTGATGGCTACAGTGTTATATACATATGTAAAAGTTCACTGAGGAGTAGGCTTAAGAGCTGTGTATCCTTTTTTTTTGGAGAGGAAGATTGTCCCTGAGCTAACATCTGTCCTAATCTTCCTCTATTTTGCATGTGGGGCACTATCTCACCGTGGCTTGATGAACAGTGTGTAGGTCCACGACTGGGATCCAAACCCATGAACCCTGGGCTGCCAAAGTGGAGCGCGTCAAGTTAACCACTATGCCACCAGGCCGGCCCCAAGAGCTGTGTACTTTTTTTGACTATAAGTTATATCTTGATAAAAAGATTTTTTAAAAAAGGAAAAGGAGAAGAAGAAAAGCAATGCAAATCCAAGAATGAAGGTAGTATTTAAGATTCCTTAAATATTCTATTGTTCTTTAAACAAATATTTGTTGAGCACTTTGCTTTATTCCAGACACAGTGCAAGATGCTGAGGGTGAAACTAAAAGGATTCAGGCCACCATGATATAAGCATTTTAGTATAACGCACAAGGGACCTGAAGCAAACAAGACGTTCCAAAGTCAGTTAACAGTTACACTTACTTAAAGCTTTCTTTAAAAATAGTTCTGCATGTGGCAAATTTTCACAAAAAATAGATTTCACTTAATGATTAAACTAACCTCTCCTTCAAATCAAAACAATTTCTTTAAATACTTAGTGAAACCATTTATTTAGGAAAATACTGTTTGTTCAAAAGAAAATAACTTATTTAAATGCAAGGGAAAAACTGTGGTAAAGATAAGAACAACTGGTTTAACAAACAAAAAAACAAGGTAACTAAGCAAACTCTAGGAAAATCTATCTCTGTCACCCAAAGTCACAAAATATGTGAAAGCAAGGACAGAGAATCGTAAGATAATTCAGCTGAGCCTGGCGCAGCCTGCATCCGTTCTGACCAGGCAGCAATACAGGAGCACACTTCTCACCCCTGTTTTATTCCTACACCCTCACAACACACGCTTATGAGCAACTCAACCCACTTCTCACCAGAAAGGAGTGAAATTAATGAACACTCTATAGGATAACCTCCGCCTCCATCCCCTACAAAATGGTAAGAGAAGTGGCCGGCAAAACCATTTTCTTCTTAAATCCAGGATCAACAGATAATCAGAAATGGTCTCTATCATATAAGACAAGAATGCTAACGAGGGAGCATTGTACAACTCAGATGAATAACCAAAACAAACAAGCCGCTTTACCTGTCCGCCTTCATCAGAAGGTTCGGTGGTAGCTCCAGGAGCTGGTTGTGTTGCACATCCAAGACCTCCACTGAGGTTCTTTCTAGCCTTTCAGGAAGCCTCGTCAGCTGGTTGTGTCCTGCCAGTAGTTTCCGGAGACTACTATTACAAAATAAGCTGTGCAAAAAAAGACAAAGACAAAATGACTTACAGCTAATTTGGGATAAAGATTAAAAAACTAATAGCAGTAGGAAAGCACTTAAAATTCTCTCTCCAAAAAACATAAAGTCAGGGGCCGGCCCTGTGGCCGAGGGATTAAGTTTGCGTCTACCGCTTCAGCGGCCCAGGGTTTCGCTGGTTCGGATCCTGGGTGCAGACGTGGCACCGCTCATCAGGCCATGCTGAGGCGGTGTCCCACATGCCACAACCAGAAGGACCCACAACTAAAATATACAATTATGTACTGGGGGGATTTGGGGAGAAAAAGCAGAAAGAAAAAAAAAAAGATTGGTAACAGTTGTTAGCTCAAGTGCCAATCTTTAAAAAAAAAAAAACCAAACAAATCCATTCAGAGCAACTGAAAACTCATTTTAACATAACTCAAACTTGGAGCTGTTCACATTTCAATACTTTCCATACTTTAAAAAAAGGGCAGGAAGAACAATAAAAAGGGATATTTAACAAAGAAGCTTCATTTAGTGAAAGAAAAAAACCAGTTTCATAGGAGCAGATGCCGAGGAGAGCAGTCTAATCTTGTTAGACTTCCAGGCAAGCTGTATGAGGCTGTAGGCTTCTCGAGGTAGGGATGTGTCTGTCTTGTGGCAGCCTGGAACAGGGGTATTTTACCCACAATAGATTCTGAATCAAGTTTTTTACCTACAGGATCAACATTAAATAAGAATTCTTTTATCCAATTAAACTTTTACAAATGCCAACTGATAAAATGTTACATTTTTCCTCAGTTGCATTTCATAATCATAATTATTTCTCCCTTTCATCACTTCCCTAAATCTGTATATTTTTGTTTTCTGGTTGGTTTAATCCCAGACCCAAGTGGAGACTCCCTTCTAAAGACAATACAAGGCACTTAATCCGCTATTTTCTTTTGAGCCTCAAGGAGCTGTTTGGGAGCTTGGCTGTTTTCTCTCATGGGTCATCAAAACTGCAACATATGATAAATTCTTGTTAATCTAATGTAAATCTGCTCTATGACTAGTGGAGACTTCAAAAGTTGTACGGAATAAAACAGGCCCTGTGTTTAAACACAGAAATCTGGGCAATGGAAAAGTGTGGTTGTTTTTTGCATCGGGACCACTTTGTAATAAGATTTCTTCTCCACTGCTGTCAAAGAACGAGTCTTCCTCATCTACCTCCTGCTTTCGACCATTCTGACCTCACTCAATGACATCCAAAGTTGTTAAAATCACTCTCCATTACAGCTATAACTTTACTCACTTTCAATATCAAAACTAGACTCTTTGCTTTTAAAGACCCTAGCAACCTGTCTCCATGCTGTCACACCACGGGTTACCATTAACGATATTTGACATGCCTGACTTCACAGGTTTAAGCATCAGTGTGACAAGACAGACTATCCAGGACTGCTATTCAGTCACAGTTATCACAGGGGGCAGTCTCTGTAACGGTCACCTCAACCCAATAATTCAGGATTTGGTTCACCAATTTTACTGTCTTGCTGGGCCTAGGGTACAATTTAGAATTCTTAGAGGGTAGAATGGGGTTATTTATTATTCACACACACAAAAACACACACACTTCACCTTAAATAGATGGATAACTGAAAGATGTGAAAAAATCTTTATTTTGATTTTTCCAAATAAAAATCTAGACTTGATAACTACAGGATGAGTATTAAGTGCTAATTATTGGATAGTTCAATTCTTTTGGATACTGTGTAAGCATTAAAATAGTTTCTTTTCATTTGAATACATCTCCACTTCTAAATACTAATTTGTTTGGGCAAACCCTTCACAGTTCACTTAGATAAACAAAGCTTGAATATTAAATCAAATTCTAATGACTCACTGTCTTGCCTGAGAACTAGATCAATGACAGGGCTGATACAAAGTGTGCAACTAAACACCACCACAAATGAGAAAACAATACATATTGTTTTTGTTCCACGTGTTAAAAACACACACACACAAACAAACATTGTTTAAATTCCTTCACAATAGAGCATTTGGAATTTGCTTTGAATAAGCATTTGTTTAGATCCTAAAAAAGCCTGTACTAATGCAGAGCAAATCAAAGATTAATTAACTTTGGGAAAAACTGGATAAAATATCAGTTATCTTGTATTTATTCAATTGTTGGTTTGTATATACAGTATCTTTGTTGCAGCCTACAGTGAAACTGAGGCTTTAGACTCCAATGTGCTGTATCTGTTGGATTGGGGAGGTCAAAGTAGGGAAGAGAAGAGAGATAATGGAAGGAAAGATAACAGTAAAAGATTTTTTCAACAAATTGTTTTTTCCCATTAGTGATAGCCTGTTTTCATTTTTTGCTGTTTGTCTCCTAAAAGGGTCTCTCTCTCTCTCACATACACACACATGCAATGTTGTCCACAGGGCACATCACCAAAGTCCTTCTCTTGATAATGGTGATGGGCTGCACTGGGTCACCTAAATGCTCAGTCAACATAAAACTCTAAAGCGGAAAGCATTTTCAAATGGATTGAATTTATAGATATAACGCATGGCTGAGGAACAAAGTAAAATTAATCAGCTGTCCAGGGATTGAAAATGTAATTCAGATTTCTTTTATGAGAGCTATAGTGTAACACAATGTTATCCAACAGAAATATAATATAAGCCACACATTTAATTTTAAATTTTCTGGTAGCCACATTAAAAAAAGTGAAAAGCAACAGGTAAATGAATTCTCATAGTACTTTTTATTTGACCCAATATATCCAAAGTATTATTTTAACACGTAATTAATATACAATGTTATTGAGATATTTTGCATCCAGAATATACTTTACAATTCAGCACTTCTCAGTTAGGACTAGTCACATTTCAAGTGCTCAATAGCCCCTTGGCTAATGGCTAGTGGCTACCATATTGGACAGCTGAACTCTAACACAATTGCTAGACTTACTAAGCACGTATATTTCATAATCTTTGTTCTTTACAAACGAATAGAGGCATACTGATCGTATACCTTTAAAGAGCGTTCACCCAAAGTAAAAGTTTACTCCAAATTAGTGATAGATTTTTACAATATTTTCATGGATATATTTGACTATATACAGTTAAAAACAACTGACTTCCTCTGTTCAGTGATTGGCTGAGAATGGAAGAAATAGCTAGACCGGCGGCGTAGCAGTCACTAGCCACAAACGGCTATTCAAATTTAAAGTAATTAAAATTAAATAAAACTTAAAATTCCATTCCTCAGTCACACTGGTCACATTTCAAGTGCTTGGTAGTCACATGTGGCTAGTGGATATTGTACTGGCCAGCACAGATATAGACCATTTCAATCATCACAGAAAGTTCTACAGGACAGCACTGGCAGAGAGTACTCTTTTGGTTATTAATTGTATGGCTAGTCACTACCAGTCCAATAATGTTTTGTGCCACAATCAGTCAATGTGAAGATATTTGTATCTATGGACACAAGACATCATCACATGGCTATTTTACAAATCTTGCTATTAAAGTGAAAATTATGAAATAAAAACAGTAACACATGTTAAAAGAGAGAAGACAAGCAAAGACATGTTCTTGGACCTTCTACTCCAAATTTCACTTTAAGAAAAACAGAATCTAGTTTGCTCTTTCTAATTAATAACCCAATAATCTTTTTTTATCAAAGTTATGTTTAAGGAAAACCAAAAATTATTTGTGGATAAGGTAGACATGTTCAGTTAACAAACAGAAGGGGTAGATTATGAAAAAATTAAGATTACGGAGGTGAACCAATTATACTGTTTGTTGAGTTCTTTAACATTTCTTTTGGCTTATTTATACATTTTCACCAGCCACGCCTCCTGCATGGCTTTGAAAGGTCGGGCTGAGAGTCAAAGCCTCACTCTACTCTTAGCTGCATGAAGAAATTCCATAATGTGAAGATACCACATGAGGCTTTAAAAGATGCTAAAAGGTTTTCAAACAAACTCTTTACAGGTTCATAATAACAAGTTAAACATTGAATCAGCAAATTTTTAATTGCTTTATCTAATTGGGGATTCTCTAATTTGATCTGTAATACTCACCGTGCAGGAAGTTCACATATTTGATTATGGCCAATATCCAAAACTTCCAGCTTTCGACTTTCACATATCCACTCAGGCACGTTTTCTAAGCGGTTCCTAAATATAAAATAAACAATTTTTTTTCTTTGATTGGAATTTGGCCTAAAATATGGTTTGAAACTCAAAATAATTACATAGAATAAATAAAACTTCAAATGAAATACCAAAGTGTAGTGAGTATAAATCAAAAGGATGTGTATTCTCTTTAATCTAGAAGCAAAATGAACTATGATAGGGAATAAGAAATAAAGAAAAAGTAGGAAAGGACATAGTTATAGCATTTGCATCATCTCTAAAGTCCCCAAAAAAAGTCTAATCCTCAGAACTGCTATCCTAAAAAGTCGACAAACACATTCCAATTTAGGGAGAGGATATCTTACACTGGAAAACAGACACACACACACACACACAGTTCCAGTCAAGTCAAACAGTCAAATGACATAAAAGTTTTATTTTCCAATTTACATTTTTGCCCTTAACATTAAAATACTTCTCAAATCCAGTAGCTAACACAAAAGCATAGCCATAGATAAATGGAAAGAAATGGCAGCGGTGAAAAGGTACACTGACCCTCAAGACTCAGAATTACTTATTTGAAAACATCTACTTAGGCATTAGATGGTAATTTCAATTACCAGAAACAAGTGAACTAAACTAATGATGATTTTAATTATTAAATGAATTGACCACTTCTTATACAAATCTACTATATTTGAATGTCTCCCTAGTCATAAACAGCTATTAGCCTTTTACCTTCTTCTCTTTTTTTTTGGTGAGGATGATTGGCCCTGAGCTAACATCTGTGCCAATCTTCTCTTTTTGTATACAGGACGCCACCACACCTTGGCTTGACAAGCGGTGCATAGGTCTGCATCCAGGACCCAAACCCAGAAACCCCAGGCTGCAGAGGCAGAGCACGTGAACTTGACCACTATGCCACTGGGCCAGTCCCTTACCTTCTTTTTTAAATATGTGAAATGACCAGGAACAAAGAATCTAAAAGGGTATGTATGATCACAATTCTTTAAAAACAGATGAACAATTCTGTGAAAATATGATGCTTGGAACAAGGACAATATGAGAGTAAAAGTTTTTACTATTAAATCAACTTTTTAATTAAACTACAGAAAAGAAGGCATTACTTTCTGCTTAGTGTCTACATAGGCGCACACAGTTCTGGCTTTGAAGTCCTAAAGATCGACACACATAATTATTTTATTTTCTAGTAGTTAACCAACCTATTCTTATTGAGTTAACATCTCAATAAGATAGGAGAGTGAAAGCATCCTTGAGTATAAGCAATCTTAATATATAGTAACAAAACTACTATAAGTGATAAAATAGCCTGGAACTTTGAACCTGAGGAACTCTAAGGACCTAGGAAACACTATGATGAGTGACAGCCCAGTTCCTTTAGCTAACACAAATACTCACACAAAAGGAGGAGGGTGAAATCCTGAGAGCTATGTGAGGGGAAGCAGAGATTTTCTAAGAAAAAGTCCTACATAGAGGGAGGTGGATGAGGCAGAGCATGTTACAGTGAGGATTCTGGGGACATGAGAGTTACAAAAGAAAGATGAACAGCATTTAAGTGGCAGAATTCAGGGACAAGCAAGACACAATAGTTTCCAATCCAGTCTCACTTAGGGGCTTCAAGGGGTACCATTTGCAATTACATCCTATAATTGAAAGGGAAATAGATTCACTCTATGGCCACCTGGCGAGAAGAAATCTGTTCAAGATAATTATATGCACCCATGTATGCAAACACCACTCCTGCACTGGTCTTTAATTTAAAGGCTATGGATAACATTCGATGCTGACAGAAAAAAAAAGAACTTAATCAGGTAATGTCTGACTTCAAGTTCATCAAACAAAACTATCCAACATGAATTTAGTAGGAAATGCATAAAGCACTACTCATAAATGATTTTATAATTATAAATTTCTAATAAAATTGTAATTTTAATAATTCTCACAGTAGCTAGATTCTGACAAATTCTCACACAGTTATGATTGAGAATATTAGTAAAATAACTAGGTTTGTGCACTTTCATGACTAAAGGCAAATTATGCACTTGACATATTACATAGCAGTTGTATCAGATTTTACACACTGAACCGAGTTAACAGTTGTCACGTTGAGAGGGCTGCATACTCCTAGGCACTGTGATTGTTCAGAAAATTTGGTGTATTTCCTTTGGAATTATGCTAAAAGTGAGTTTCCCCAATTTCAGTGCGTTAAGATGATTAAAGTCTAATTTGTGTAAACACATGCTTTGTGCCTTCAGGAAAAAGTCTCTATGATATTTGTGGGAACTGGAATAAATATGACACACTACAGCAGTGAATTTGTGTAAAAGGTGAGATGGTCAGCCTACCAGCAAATGAGCTGAGGAAAGTGAGCAGGCTGTACAGAAATCCTACTTTGGTGGGCTTAGTCACGACTTTCTAAGGTCTACTGAGCAAGGAGATGTATGTAAAAGAAGGGAAAAAAATCAAATAGATACAGAACAATATTTTTTAAAATGAAATTAATATCATTTGAGGGAAAGACATGAAGATTTGGTTAGCATAATTAAAGAACTACTGGACCTTCCAGCCATATGACCCTCAACTCATTAATCTTTCAAACACAAACCTGGCATTCAAATTGGTGTTCACACAGACACCTTGATTCTTCTGGTTTGAACTACAGTATACAAAATGTAGTATTTTAACTAACAGATATTTACAGACATTTTTAGAGGGTAAGTAAAAATGACTGAATTTTTTATTACTTACCTTCAAAATATATAAAAAGTTCTTATGCATAAGCTCAGACAGAATTAACTAATAACTTTCAGGCAGACTGAAGGGCACTCTAGCACTTGGCTTCTTACCTTGAAACGTCCATGTAGGACAGATAATTCGGAACTGGGTAAACATCAAGTTGAACAAGTTCTAGGAGGTGGAAAAAAACACAAAAACATTACCATTCAAGTGACACAGAGACTCTTTTTGTATGTAGAATATCATTACTGTGCTTTATTCTCCATTGTTTGTTTAGATTAGGAAGTACAATACATCCGTTTGTTCAACTTTGAAACTACAGGAAAGTACAGAGAACTTCTAATTTAATCACAAGATCTTATTCAGAGACTGAAATCAATCACTCATTCTGCCTTCCGACCTCTCTCTCAACCACTTACTGTGGCTCTCCTCTTATTTTACATGTTACATTTTATCTGGAAGATTAACTGTATGAATACTGTTTTTTTGAACATTCACGGTTCCTTCCATAAATCCAAACACATCCTGGCTTTTACCTTTTTCACTCTACGGAAACAGCTCTCCTGAGGGTCACAACTGACTTCCTCTACTCAAATCTGAAAACCCCTTCTCAAAACTGTATGAAATGTGACACCACCGTCCACCTAGGGCTTTGCTTCTCGGAGAGGGTAGTTTCTAGATGTTCTGCTGCCTCTCTAAACACTTACCAAGTAACTCACAGGTTCAGCTCCTATCTGACTGCCCACTCTGGCCCTGGCTAACTGAGGGTTTTGTAAGTCCACTTTTGGTACCAGCTCTCTTCCCTTTTCCAGTTACCTTATTTCCATGGTTTCAGGTACCAACTCTGAGCAGATAAGTCTCAATCAACATCTGTAGTCCTGACTGCAAATTCGTGTTAGCTCACATGAAGACCATTACAATAACCTGGATTAGCAGGGGAGTGGATTACTCCACTCTTCTCCCATAAAAGCACTCTGCGCACCACTTTCATAGAGCATCACTTCCATCACATGCCTCCTTTGCTTAGGAGTCTCCACTGGTTCTCTACAGCTTACTGTATTGACTTAAAGATTCACCATCTGACTCTAAGCCATGCATCCCATAATTACTTAACACTCTCCAGCAGTCACCTATGAGTTCAGAATCCCCTGTCTTCTCTCATCTGCCAAAGAAACCACATTCAGATTCTTCCCCCTTCAACAGGCTCTGTGGCTCCTGGCAATCCAAATCCTATAACCCAGGGCAAGCCCCATGGCCGAGTGGTTAAGTTCGCCCGCTCCACTACGGTGGCTCAGGGTTTCGCTGGCTCAGATCCTGGGTGTGGACATGGCACCACTCATCAGGCCACGTTGAGGCGGCGTCCCATGTGTCACAACTAGGAGGACCCACAACTAAAATATACTACCATGTACTGGGGGAATTTGGGGAGAAAAAGCAGAAAGAAAAAAAAACCAAAACCAAATCCTATAACCCTTCAGTGACCTGTAGCTATTTCAGGTTTGGCTTGATTCCAGTGAGATGACAGTAAACTCATTAAAAAAAATCCCTCATCCTTTAGAGCTCATGCAGTACACTATGCATAAAACAAGTGCTTCATGAGCATTTGTTCAACCTGTAGGGGTAAATATTTGTTTTCATTCAGTTGTCTGATGGTAGGGAATTGAATCTTCACTTTAGCAAACATGACCATATGACCTTTTCTTTTTTAGAACTGCTATGATTTCCAAATTCTAAGGAAGAGATTTTATTAAATGAGTAAGCCTCTTGCTTTGTGGTGCCCCTGAGGGTAGAGAATTTAGTTTTCTTTTAAGGTGAGTTCCTTTGTTAGTGGAACATGAAATCTGAGACCCTGAGGGAGTCCAAAAGGGACCTTCCCTTCACTTTCACTCTCCAGTATTAAATCAAGATTCCAAATTTACTGTCTTAATAAGGCAGCCTAAGAAACAGCTCACCCCCCACCTTCAAACAGAGGAACCAAATCAAAAGTGGGAGTAACTTGTCTAAATATCACAATATGAGAAGAACAAGTTAGGAACCATAAAATTTTCTTTTTTGATTCCTTTAAATACCAAACCAGCATTATTCTTTGATGATTTTTATCTTAGCAAAATTTGACACTTATTTGACTAAATGAGGAAGGAAAAATCAAAGCGAGGCAGACAGGATGGCATGGATAGATTCGTGGAACCAAAAGAGAAACTTTGATGTGGTCTATGTTACATACCGTTAGAAGAGGCATAGAGCGCTTTCAGGAAGTAGCCACAGATGTTTAACGTCACCAGTTGATTCCTTTCACAGTGTAAAACTTCAATGTTGTTGAAAATCATAGCATCTAGATCACCAAGCTTATTGTCGCGCAGATCAAGCTGAGTGACATGCTGGAGAAAGTCCACTTCATCTGCTATTAGCTTCCTAAGTATGTTCAGTCTTGAGAGGAAAAGGATGCAAATAGACCATAATTAACTGCAATGCTATAAATAAATGGCCACATCCTAACATGGTAAGGTAATGAGAAGGGACTCAAGTCTCACTATCTCATAGTCCTCCATGATTTCTTTAATCTCATCATCAGGCCTTCCTTAAGTGGCCAGATTCTCTGGCTATTTTTAGCTATAACTCCATAAGGTCATAACCTTGACAATATATTCGGAAATACAATTTAGACCACTAAGGCTGGAAGAGAAGCATGCACATTGATTTCATTTTAATTCATTTCAAGAGGAAAAAAAATCCATTTAAACATTTATTTCCAAAGAATTTGGTTGAAAGAACACAAGAAACAAAACCCAGAACAACCCATTAAGCACATTACGACTACACTGAATATTTAAGGAAGGAGAGAAGATGAGTGAGCAGGTAGATGAGCAGCGACATAGGACAGAATTAAAGGGTGAACTGTGGGAAAAAAATGAATGGGAGCCACATATGCACCAGAGATAGGAAGGCAAATATCTGGATTTTCAACTGGTTCAGGACCAAGGATTAATTACCAAAACTATCTCCATCTTTAAAATATTGCTTGAGGGGCCGGCCCGGTGGCGCAGCGGTTAAGTGCGCACATTCTGCTTCGGTGGCCCGGGGTTCCTTAGGTGCGGACATGGCAGCACTTGGCATGCTATGCTGTGGTAGGCGTCCCACATATAAAGTAGAGAAAGATGGGTGTGGATGTTAGCTCAGGGCCACTCTTCCTCAGCAAAAAGAGGAGGATTGGTGGCAGGTGTTAGCTCAGGGCTAATCTTCCTCAAAAAAAAAAAAAAAATATATATATATATATACATACATCTAAAAAAAAAAAAGGAAGATTGGCAACAGATGTTAGCTCAGGGCATATTGTCCTCACCAAAAAAAAAATTATAATAATATTGCTTGAAAGAGCAAAGTGCAGAAAATACTGAAATTTGGCATCTAGGATTCACTGAGAAATCATAAAACAAGAGACAATGATGGGATCAACAAGTCTAGGATACAGCAAGGCACAGGGAAAACCTGCAGAAGCTCAGTCATGAGGACTAGCGAGCGAACAGACTGAAGGTGCAGAGGATAAGCTGCCAAGATTTAAGTAAATAGTAAGAGAGACTTACTATTCAATATATATATAATTCAACATAACAAAGACACATTTAGCTTCATAGGGGGGAAAAATAAATGAAATCAAAATCTCAATTCCTGGTTTGCTGGCTACGCCCAACTCCTTTACAAGCAAACAAACAAGAACGCTCTACTTCTCATGACAAAGCCAACAAAGTGTGGAGATCATGCACTTGGTTAGAAGAGCACTAACATAAAGGCTGCAGCTTAGAAAAAAGCCAAAGGTTCTCAGTAGTGACTTTCTGCTCTTAGAAAAAATAAAATGATGGTAACCGAGTTATTAAAAGCAATATCATAAAGCCACTGAAACAGAAGGATGAGTGACAGATAACAGATAGCAAAGGGCCAGGATTTGTCAACCTGCAAACATAGCATAAGACCTCTTCCAATGTCCCCAACAGTGTTTTTTTTTTTTTTGCTTCTTTTTTATTCCAGGTTTTAAGATTTAAAAACTGGCCTCTACCCAGCAATTCTCCTATTTCCAAATGCTCACTAGATTACTAGAATATGAATACGGAATAAAAAGAAAAAACAAATCTCATTTTGGATACAGCAGACTGCAGGAATTAACAAAATGCCCCATGTTCTCCCTAATCTATACTTTAAATTACCTTCATGTGGCATCATCATCTTCATTTGAAATAGCTCCCCCCCACAATATTACTGTATTAACATTAAAATAATTAAAGGGTTGGTTTAATAAGGAGACAAAAGAAAATCTGTAATGAGAGGGAAGATATTCCAACTATTCAGTTTAAATTGCCAAGTCTTATCAGGATTCAAATATCAAAAGCTTTCAGGTTCACATAATAATACAACGATTTAGGATAAAGTTTTTTGAGTGTGAGAGGAAGATTCACCCTCAGCTAACATCTGTTGCCAATCCTTCTCTTTTTTTTGCTTGAGGAAGATTAGCCCTGAGCTGCCAATTCTCTGCTGCCAATTCTCCTCTTTTCGCTGAGGAAGACTGGCCCTGAGCTAACATCCGTGCCCGTCTTCCTCTACTTTATATGTGGGATGCCTACCACAGCATGGCGTGCCAAGTGGTGCCATGTCCTTACCCGGCATCTGAACTGGCGAACCCTGGGCCACCAAAGCGGAATGTGTGCACTTAACCACTGCACCACCAGGCCAGGCCCATAGGATAAACTTTTAAAAAGGCAAAATGTGGTTAAAATTTCCTTCCAATAATCCCCTTGGTTAACACAACCATTTTATTTATTTCATAAATATTCACTGAACATTTACCATGTGTAGACCGGCAGCGTCAGAGAGGATTATATGTTCTACTTCCAGTTTGCTGCTCAACACTTTGCATATATGACCTTGAGTAAGTCATCTAACATTTCTGTTAATTCTAACTCTAATCTGTAAAACGAGGAATTATACCTTCCTTGTCCTACAAAGCGGGTGAGAAAATGAAATGAATATATGAGCCAGTACTTTGCAAACCATGAAAGGTTATGTTGATGATGATGACAATGACCTTGTGTCAACAAGAGATGTATAAAGCAAGGTGTTTGTCAGCAGATTAAGTAATTTAGTGAGGAAAATCACATACGCTTTAAAATATGAAGGATAAACAATACTAGTATGTGGTAAGTGCCATAAATGACGTATAAAAAAAGGAGTATGGTCAAAAAAGAAGCTACAGAAGAGGAAGCATCTTATCTGAATCCCAAGGGTAGGCAGAATTTAACAGATGCAAATGGGAGAAGAAAACAGTCCACGAGGAAGAGCAGAATGGCCTTTGGACTGAAAGGAAGAGCACAGGGAGAATTTCAGGCGCGAATGTAGGAGCTCTCAGGAGTGCAGGGTATGTGAGAAATGTGAGAACATGGCTATAGAGGTGGATTAGTTAATTAATATTTGTTGAGTATTATACCTACTAAGTGCTAAATTTGGGGGCTCCAGGATGAATAAAGAGCAGCGCCACTCAAGTTATCTAGGGTGAAGGACCTATGCTCTAAACTTTTACTGCATCAAAGACTGATGTGCAGTCATAGTGCACACAACCAGGACACAGCTCACACCACATGTGGCTCACTGTGCGAGTTTACCTAAACTAGTCTATTTCCTGTACAATGAGATGAGTCTACTTGTAGGAGTCTATTTGGATATTGTGGCAATGTCGAATAGCTCTATGTTTCTAAAATATTGTCACAATTTCTATAGATATCTCATTGTGGAAAAGGAGCAAATAGTTGGCTTGCCAACACAGGTCAGGGGACTATACTTTGAGTAGCTCTGAGTTAGAGCGTCATCCTCAAGGGACTCACAGGCTAGTTGGCTGAAACCAGATAGGAGAGCCTGAATACCATGAACTAGAGAATTGAAGGCTCTGAGCAAGACCGTGCTTGCTTGAGAGGTGGCACAACGGAAGCAGATGGCTCACCTAGGAGACAACAATAGCAATAAGAAGGAAAAGGAAGGGACAAAGAGAGAACCTAGTATGAAAGAAGAACTGATAGAATCTGGTGGCAGACTAAAAATAGAGTCACAAATTTTGTGTCTAGATAACCAATGAAGTGGTGCGGCCATCAGCAAAAACAGAAATCCAGGGGAAAGAACTGGTTGAATAAAGAAAGAAATTGAACTCTGTTTCACAGGTATTTGGTTAAGTGTGTCAACAGGGGAAACCAAGGTGAAATTATCCACCTGGCAGCTGAAGTGGAATCAGTTCCAAAAAGAGAAATAAGGATCAGAGAAAGATTGGGGAATAATTAACATGGAGATGAAAGGTGAATGACGACGCCCTGAGAGCACAGGCAACCGCCAAGGCAGAAAATAGAAGGAGAAGTGCCCGAGGAGAGATATGAGTAACATCAACATTTTGGACAGAGAAGAGAAGGAGGAATTATTAATGATGCCATAGAAGAAATAATATCAGATTCAAAGAACATCAATAAAAGAAAAAGATTAAAAGAAAAATGATCACTTTTAATCTGATGTAACATTTCTATCTGAAGGAATAAAAAAATCAATAAAACTAGCTTTCCGCTTATACAAACTAACTGAAACACCCCTTCCACTAGCTTCAATTTAAAATATTAAGGCAGAATAAACAAATCTGACCAGACGTCCCCCTCCCCAGCTCAGTGGCCTGGAGGGAAGCAGTTATCTACTCCCGATCATTCAACATTTACAGTGTCCAAAGTCTACTCTGGTATTTAAATACCCTGCAACTGATCTCATCTAAGAAGACCCAATTAGAACTGGAAATCTGAAGAATTTATAAAGGTCCTAATAAGAAAAGTTACTTCTAGACATAAGAGATTGATCTTATTTGTAAACTAATTCGGATCAAGAGAAATGATGTCGTCTTATAAGTACCAGGTAATGCAGAAATCCTCTCATGTTTGTTACCTGAGGTCAATACAACCATCATTATACTGCTGGCTGGCTAAATAAAAAAGGGCTTAAATTCTTGAATATGAAGGTTTTCTAAATCCAAGGGACTCAGAGGCAAATAATGTTAACAATTTAGAAAGAAAGTTAACAAGACAAAACTTTTTGTCACATTCCAAAAAGTTCTCAAAGTCAGATCAGTTATTACCATTTGTACTCCCTGAATTAAGAATTCTAGGTCTAGAGCCAGCCCTGGTGGCCTAGTGGTTAAAGTTTGGCGCTCATGGCTTCAGCGCCCTGGGTTCACTTCCGGGTCACGGAACCACACCACCTGTCTGTCAGTTGCCATGCTGTAGCGGTGGTTCACATAGAAGAACCAGAACAATTTACCACTAGGATATATAACTATGCAGTGGGGCTTTGGGAAGGAGGAAAAAAAGAGGAAGATTGGCAACAGATGTTACTCAGGGAGACTCTTTTCCTGCAAAAAAAAAAAAAAAAAAAAAAGAATTCTAAGTCTGCCTACTGCTAACACTTCTCTAGGTATGACAGCTTGATACCATCAGTCTGAGGAAAGGTAAAGCCAAGCAATTCTCTGTGGGACTGGAATGAATGGGCTTCCTAGGCCAAACTACATAAATGGAGAAGAAAGGGGGGCAAAAGATGATGCTGGTTTACACTATGAAACTCAACAGGTATGAGTGAAGGCCTGGGGTTACCAACAGGGAGGAGAGTGGGTAGTAAACAAGGAAAGAACCACATTTGACAAATGGTGAGGTATAAAGATGCCAAGAACAACAGCTGAGCAGATTCCGTGAGTACGAAAGTCCTCAACCAGGTGACGATAACAACGCATACCACTCGCTGGGAGGGTGAGGCGTTTAACTCAATTCCTTCCAAAACTCTATGAATTAGGTTCTGCTATTAACCGTAATTTAGAGACAAGAACACAGTTGCACAGAGACATTTAAGTATCTCACCCAAGATTTAACGTGGCTAGTATGTGATCATCAACCCCTGGCTAGTTTGGTTGAAAAAGTATCAAATTGGGCAAGTCAGTATTAAGGCCTAAGCCCAATATGTTGCTTTGCAGGAACTCAAGCTCATGACGGGCTCTTGTCTTTCCTTAGGAAAGAGAAATTTAGAATAGCTTCCTCCTCATGTACAAGTTCTTTGTGCATTGGAAACTAAAACTGAACCTTACGTACTAAGAGATGATTATCGAGCCTCTTTGATGTGGCAAGGATTATGCTAGTGGTTTTCAGTTGGACTTTAGTGTGACCAGGATTCAAAATACAGGCTCCCTGCTCTTGCAAGGGGTGAGAGTGGAGGTTCTAGTCAAACTTAGGCCTAACAAGAGATTATGAGTTTTATATTTTGTGAAGTTTTGTGTTGTTGTAAATGAAAGTCAGAGCCACCTAAACAGAGAAAAGGGAAAAATAAGTTAAATAAATAATTTAATTTACTGACTGCATTATATTTACTGACTACAATATATTACATTATATTAAGTTAGAGAAGCCAAGGAAAGAAAAAAATTGAAGGAGAGATGCTCAATGATGTCAACTGCCTCAAGCCACAGAAGAGGAGGACTAAGAGAGAAAAATATTCACTCTACTCTCAACGATACGGTTTTTATTCACCATAAACAGCTCTCTCTGATTCGATGGCCCTATCCACGTAAATTAAAACTGGGTTCAAATTTGAAAAACAAGATAAGACCTTCAAGACACATGGTCATTCACCGATGAGAAATTTTTTTAACAAGTCTCCTACTGTTAATCATTACTCTTCCCTCAGAGCAGAAGTAGAAAAATGGGCCCTAATTGCAACTAGCCAGGCTGCCTGCCTTGGCAGGAGAATGTCATCCAAAGGGCTATACCCTAACCCCCTAAATATAAGCCAACCACTCCAATGGGATATATTTCTTAAAAATGGTTACCTTAGATCCACGTGTTTAATGTGAGGCATTTTTCGCAAAGCCTGTAGCCTAAGGGTCTCCATACAGTTTCCAGACATACAAAGTTTATCCACAGCAGTTAATTTCTCCAATACCTCTGGAATGTCAGTGAATTCATTGAAAGAAAGACCGAGATAACTAAGCTGATGCATGTTCTCCAACTCAGCAGGAAGGGCCTGGAGAAAGTTTCCATCCAACAAAAATGTCTGCAAGCTATTAAAGAAAACATAAGAATTATAAAGAGAATGTGTAAATTTTACATCTTTATTATCAACACATGAGTTCCATAAGTATAGATCATATTACCAGAAAAAGAAAATGTACTATCCTTTGCAAAATGCATTAGGGCAGGGCCTGAGGCAATAATACACCAGAGAGCAAAGATCAGAGATAAGCATCTTAATCTTTTGTTGAAAATCAAAATTATGACCAATTTTCCCAACTTAGATAGGCATAAATGGGAACATGAGCTAACTGCAGTATGAATCAGCCGAAACACTCATCTTTTATTATTTTAAAAATTGACTTTTAAGTCTTAGAATTCGACATAATTCAGAAAACGAGAAAGTAACTCCTCCCATGTTTAGGCACAGTCATTTGTAGAGATCTTCAGTTTAACAAGGTTATTTTAAGTTTTTACAAGATTCTATTAAGAGTAAAAAAACTAAAAAATGAACTTGACACGAGCTTAATCTCTTGGTTTGGGGCCAAGACTTACATGACCAACATAACAAGTTAACTAATCTCATGTGCTGCGACCTGGCTGCAGGTTCCCAGGGGTTTCTGAGGGACACTCCGCAGGAGGGTTTAAAGTACGCACTTGTGCATGACTCCGACGGCCGCCGGGACTGCACGAAGGGCGTTGCAGGACACATTCAGCTCAGTCAGGGTCGGAATATTGCAGACTGCTAATGGGAAGTCCCCTAAATGATTATTGGAAAGGTTAAGACTCTTCAATTTGGTGAACCTATTACGATAAAACAAAACAGAAGAAAAGACAAATGTCACAGATGCATAACATCACATAATTTTAGCAGAGCCTTAGAGATAACCTAGCGCAACTCTAATTCAGCTGAGGAGGAAATGGGGCCCTCGGAGGCTAAGTGAGCAGCAGAGCTGGAGTGCACATCTTCAGACTCAAGGCCAGTGTTTTACCTAAAATACAAACATTATTTTTAAAAACAAACTTGTCACTCTAAAATAAGGCTGACTATTTGAGGAGGTGAGTTCTGCTGGAGTAAGTTTTTCAGCTTTACCTCAGCCAGCTTAATTAACACATATGAAATGATAATGGAGAGAAAGGAAAAGAACAGGTAGATCCAGTTCTTCTGAATTTCTGTGTTACCCCGGTCAAGTAAAAAATTTTTCTGCCTCACTTCTCTCAAATTCAAACCTGAAATAATAAAAACTTAACAATTTATCAAAGCTACACTTTCTCTAAGGTAACCAAGTTTTGTAGTCCCAAATTTAAGAATCAATTATCAGGGACTGGCCCAGTGGTGCAGTGGTTAAATTCGCATGTTCTGCTTCAGCCGCCCACCGTTGCTGGTTCGGATCCCATCGCACCGCTTGGCAAGTCATGCTGTGGTAGGGGTCCCACACATAAAGTAGAGGAAGATGGGCACAGATGTTAGCTCAGGGCCAGTCTTCCTCAGCAAAAAGAGGAGGATTGGTGGCAGGTGTTAGCTCGGCGCTAATCTTCCTCAAAAAAAAAAAAAGGAACAAAGAACCAATTATCATTCCTCAGTCTCTGTCCAACACTCAATACTGCTAACCACACACCTCACTTGAAGTTCTTCTCATCTTACTTTATCAACATTTTCCTCACCTAGCTTCTTCCCAGCTCTCTCCAAACTTTTTCTCCTATTTTTCCTTCTTGGTTCTTCCTGTCCCACAGTTAAGTGTTCCTCAACAATCTGTTCCTTGTCAGCTTCTTTTCTCTTTCTACATTGCCTTCCTTGGAGCCCCTTTACTGCTCTGTGAACAGCTCTCTCTAACCTATCACACGCCATCGCTTTTGCCCTGAGTTACCCTACAATATTTCCAGTCCAAAATGGAACTTATCATCTTTATCCCAGACCAGCACTTCCTCCTGTTCTATTTTTATTAAAGGCTCTTTCATTTTCTCAGTTGTCCAAACAATTACAGCAATTAAAGAAGTCATCTTTAAATTTTACTTTTCTGTGCACAAGATCTTATATTTGGCCCATTGCCAACAACTACACTTGTTCTATTTGAGATGAGAATCAGATTAGTTACTATGTTACGGTAATTATTTTAAAACCATACACACAAGGCTAAATACTAGGCAGTATGTACCATGCCTACAAGACACTCACATCTTAAAAAATAAATCCAATTCAATTCAATCAGCAAATTAAAGAAACTGTCATGTGACCTATTTGTTGAATTCTGTAATAAAAAATGTTAAGCTTTGTTCTAAATATCTAGATAAAGTCTATTCTCAACAGAAAGCTGGTAATGTACCTATCTGACAGGTTGGAAATGTTACCTTGATTTTTTATAATAGCTGTTTTCTTGGGTAGATGTAATATTATTTTAAATTTAAAAAAACACTTAAGAAAGAATTACTGCTAAACTTGAACAATCATTTTTGGTTTTTAAAATTTTTAAAAATTTTTTTGGTGAGGAAGACTGGCCCTGAGCTAACATTGGTTGCAAATCTTCCTCTTTTTGCTTGAGGAAGATTGTCCCTGGGCTAACACCTCTGCCAAACTTTCTCTATTTTATATGTGGGATGCTGTCACAGCATGGCTTGATGAGCAGTATATAGGTCCGCACCCAGGATCTGAACCCAGGAACCCCCGGGCTGCTGAAGCGGAGCACGTGAAGTTAACCACTATGCCACTGGGCCAGCCTCCTGAATAATCATTTTTGAATTTGTTTTATGTTTTACAATTTGACTCATTAAGCCTTCTTAAAACAAAGAATGCTTATCCTCTTTTCAGATTAACTATGATTTACACAACACAAGCTAGAATTATGGGGTCTATTATTCCTAGTCCAGGGGTTCTCAAAGTATGGTTGGGGGATCCCTGAAGAGACACCTGAGACCCTTTCAGGAGATTCCCAAGGCCAAAACTATTTTTATAACAAGACTAAGATGCCATCTGCCTTTTGCCACTCTCATTTTCTGCCATGTGTCCAGTGGAGACTTCCAGATAGTACTCGTCCTTGTGATAGCATACCTGATTGGATGCAGAAACAGACGTGAAAATCCAACTAGCTTCTATTAAGCCAGACATTAAAAGATTTACAAAAATATAAAACAATGATACTCTTCTCCCTATTTTTATTTTGTTTTAGAAAAGTTATTTTTCATAAAAAATATGTACATTAACAAGAATGGTTTTATTATTTTTCTAGATGAATTAATATATATTAAAACATTTTTCAGTTTAAATTTCTAATAAAGTAAATATCAATAAATTTAATCCCCATAAATAAAAGCCGCTTAGGGTCCTCAATTTTTGAGAGGGTAAAGGAGTCTTGAAATAGGGTTTCCAGATAAAATACAGGGCATTTAGTTAAATGTGACTTTCAGATAAACAACAAATTAATTTTTTAGTATAAGTAGGTCCCAAATATTGCATGGGACCTACTTATACTAAAAACAAAAAATTGTTGTTTTTCTGAAATTCAAATTTAACTGGGTGTTGTTTTTTTTCTTCTAAATCTGGCAACTCCCTCCTGAAATAGATGAAACTGCTGTTCTAGTCCAAACAAAAACAGTATCCTACTTTCTAGATATGTTTCTTCATTTGGTAGAACTGGCCACAGTTTTAAAATACGTATGCAATTAAAATGAACTTTTTAAAAAAAGTTCCTCCAGGAAGGAAAAAGATCCACTAGACATTCTCCTACACAACGCAGTACAAAGACTTTTCAGAAAGCGGAGAATGGAAGGATTACAATTTCAATATTTACTCGAGATGGAAAATGGAAGCACTGGCTTTTGGAAAAGTATCTGTCAATAATAGGAGGGGAAAAAAAGGTATATTCATGTATGCAAACAAATTTACTAGGACCACACCACTCCTGAGAACAAAGGAAAGCAGTAGTGAGTTGAATGAGTAAAAGGCAGTTGATAAGCTTAAATGGAAGAGAGGGGAAAAAAAAACCCTCTTTCTTTTTTTGAGGAAGATCAGCCCTGAGCTAACTACTGCCAATCCTCCTCTTTTTGCTGAGGAAGACTGGCCCTGAGCTAACATTCGTGCCCATCTTCCTCTACTTTATATGTGGGACGCCTACCACAGCATGGCTTTTGCCAAGCGGTGCCATGTCCACAGCCGGGATCCAAACCAGTGAACCCCTGGATGCCCAGAAGCGGAACATGCGCACTTAACCACTGCACCACCAGGCACCACCCCCAGAAAACAAACCCTCTTAACAAGTACCCTCCATTAATTTCATTTACATATCTTTCAAGTTTTAAAATGGGCATCAGCTCTAAATATAAAGAAATGCAATTATTTTCTGCATCAATTCAATGATAGAAACACTACGAGACCTTATGGTAACCAGAACTGCTCTCAGTCCCAGGGGCTGCGCCCCACAGAACAAGGAGTCTGGGCTCCCTCGTACAGAGCCGCACTGTCCACACCACACCCCGAGCCCAGGGGCTGCCGAGCACCCGCAATGGGCTAGTTCAAACTGAGATGTTCTCTAAGCATAAAAAACACACTGGATTTCAAAGACTTAGTACAAAAAAGAATGCAAACTCATTAACAGTTTTTTAGAACTGATAATTTTGATATATTGCGTAAAATAAGATATTATTAAAATGAATTTCACTTGTTTCTTCTTTTTCTAATATGGCTACCAGAAAACTTAAAATTACATATGTGGCTCGCACTGTATTTCCATCAGAGAAGCAATCTCTGCATACTACGAACAAGTAGGACGCTGAAATTCCCTGCTCAAATGACACCAAATCTGTTTTCAGGGCTTGTGTGGGCCTCTTCCCTGGGCCCATCCTCCATAAGTATGTGCCTCACGGGCCCTAGGGGTGAACAGAGCTTGGACACGTGGGCTGCTGTCCACATCCTTGCTGGGTGAGGGATGGAGCTGGAGATGGGATGAGAAGAGATTCGGGCCACTGGGCTAGCTCTCCCCTTGCTGCCATATCCAGTGCAGAATCCCAAGGAGTCTGAGGATTCTAAATTTGAATCTATGCTTGCAGGTCATTATACAAGCACATGTCAAGGGCGTGGGAGAGAATGTATTTGTTAGCTTGATTATACTTAAATATTTAGATATAGAGTATGGGGCCTCCATTTATACTCTTGCCCCAGACCTGTACATTTAAGGGCTGATTCTGATTTGTAAGAACCTTAAATTTCTCCCACTCCTTCTCACTACATTCTCCCCCTGCCTCATGCTCCTCCCCGTGCAGCCCATCCCCCAAATTCTTCCCAGAAAAGAACACAGTGTTCAGTAGTCTTGTTTAGCAAACAAAGCATGGATTGTTTCTGAGAACTCAAGCTCTGGATCAGAACACATTAAAACTCATCTGTTTTGGAAACTCAAACCCTTAGCCTTCTTAGAGTTCCACTTTTTCTTTACAGATGTGGAAAGCAGTCAGATTAAAGGCACCTGCCAATTCAGAAATCCCTCAGAGAAAGACAGGGCAAGTCCACCTAGTATCCACTTCCCTCTGGTCTTACACTGTGTGAAACAGATACCAGAAGGCAATGTTGAAGAGAGAAATAAGAGACCAAAACGGGGAGTGAGTGACCTTTCCTCCCTTTACCTTCATTCGAAAAGAATGCAGAGGAGGGAGCAAGGTGACAGCACAGGCACACTGTAACAGAAGACAAGACATGTCTCCTACAAAATAAAAGACTTTCAACTTGGTCATGCTAACTAGGTGAGCCAAATAGACCCAGACCCAAATTCTAAAATAAAACTGGTTGGCTTTGGAAAAACACATATTTGGTTCAATGT